ATTTTTCTAAATATCTTCTTTTATGTTGAGGAGAACAAAGAAATTCATAGAGGTTTAGCACAATTTGAGTTTAAGTACATGATGACAGTATCTTCATTTTTGGGTGAACTATCCTTTTAAGATCTCATCATATAATCCAGGATCTCATGTAGCCTAACACTACACATGCTTTATCTTTAACTATTAAAGTTAATTTAAGACACAAATAACTGTGTTTACGAGGATACTCGCAAAGACGAGAATTTTTGACACATAACTGTGTATTTGAACGTTTAAGCACAAGGAGCGAATGGTTTAGTCAGTCGCAATACGAGCAGGTGCGCACCGCGCGAATCAGGCTGAAACCGTCTTAATGAACGTATTTACCAGAATGAACTCTGCCCCACTGCTTAATGTTCATTAACAGTTTAAACCATTTGTTTTAAAACCTGCTTTAAACGCGTTTAAATTATAAGCTTAGCCTACATCTTGACACGCAAAACGATTGATACATTTCTACCGGATTATCTCCCAATCCTAAGAGTTTGTTTGTTGTAGAGAGTTTGTTCAAACACAAAAACAATATACATCCAGTTAACAATCAAACTAACCTAAAATCTGTGTAGATGATGACGCTGTGTTTTTTTTCTGGTCCATGTGCCCGGTTCACCTGCTGTTCCAACAACAATTGATTGAAGTTACTTCCACTCCATCATCAGCTTTAGTAAAATAACCTGATAGCTGGGGATTTTACTGACTAACTTATGTTTTTTTTTTTCTGTTGTTTGTATTTGAAGTTTTTCATTTTTTGAGCCCCTCTCTCTCTCAGAATTGCTGACATTTTTACATATCGAATATTGTTCTTTGCGCGACCATTTCCAAATTACTCCAGAACTGTGTAAGTGAAGAGTGGAGGTGAATGCAGACATACTGGGCAGCGATCACCTGATAGATACATGCACATATCGTTCAAATGTCAAATATAGAATAAATGCATTTGATTGGTAAACCAAATTCAGACTTTACGCTTCAATCTCAAATGGTAATGCATGGAATTTACGGAAAGGCTCAACTAAATAACAGCGCTAATAAGTGGGGGGCATGGTGGCTTTGGCGATCGGCACGCCAGTCAATTTACCCCACAGCCAATCACTGGCCCCCTCCTTGCTCGGGCCCCGGGGCTTCAGCCCCGCCTAGCCCAATGGTTAATACAGCCCTGGATTTAACACTATGAAAGCTTTGGCAAATATCTAAAAAACAAACAAACAAAAACAGAAGTTCAGATCTCTAGGTGCTAAATGAGAAAACTGCTTTTAAATCCTTTATGCCACAAATATTTAACAATTGTAGGCATACTATGAATAAAAAAAAAAAGTTATACAATGGACAATTTTCTTTTATAGAAGTTAAAATAATAATAATAATAATAATAATAATAAAAACATCTTTTACAAACATATTCACATGGTACTCAGAATATAACAAACAAAATGCCTGTGTGGAATAAATAAATGAATACAAAATGTTATTAAATAAATAAATAAAACATTTAATTAATTAATAATAAATACATAAAATTACATTAACTAAATGTAACTAAATAACATGAGGGGTCCCAGAAGCAATCGATTTTATTTATTGGCTTACAAATTCCAGCCTATTTTATTTATTGGAGTGATATGAGAACATAAGTCACATTTCTAACAATATGCCCATCAATATATCATGCATCCCTAATACAAACTGCATTGTGTCAAATTTTCTTTCTTTTTCATTCTGTTAAATTAAATAAGGAAGTGTTGTTTGTGTGTCTGTGAACTTGTATTAAAGTCTGACAGATGTTTTCCTTTAAATAATAGGCAAGTTCGTTTGCTCATCAAATGAGTATGAGGCTTTAACCAATTAAAATAACTGTCAAGATAAATATGCACAACCGTACCTTCTGTTAAGCATAAATAACACCGTACCTTCTGTTAAGCATAAATAATGGTTTAACGGGTACTGAGCTATATTACTGAAACA